TCAGCTTTTAATTTTGTATTATCCATGTTGGTGAAAATTGAAAATATTTCTTTGAGATTCCTGTCAGTTAGTTTCAACCATACTGTTGAGGTTACGAAGCTGTTTTTCACATCAATTTTGTTTACTTGATGACATTGAAGAGAGAAGCTCATGTATATTGCTCTGTCCCGATGTTACTGGGGTTATCATTGCCAGCTAGGCTGAACTGAATTTTTATCTATTTTGGGTTTTATCATGTACGTTTCATCCCCAGCAGCAAGAATTCTACAGATATTTTTCTGTACATGGATCCTATAGCTGAAGTGTTTATACTTTCTACAACACTTGTTATGGAAGAAAACGTGATCAATATCACACATACCCTTTCCTGAGACAATATCAAGATCAATTGGTATCTCTTATTCAATTCATCACTAGCATATCTTGCAAATTTGATCAACTTTTTGGTCACACCAGCATCTCATTTGTATTCCTATTGAGTTTTGTTCTCAAGTAGTCTTGTTACGTTATACGAAAGTTCTGAGCACTACAAAAGAGTCTCCCTGACCAGAAATCTGGGCAGAAACCACAAGAAAGGATGAATGTGTTGTCAAATGTTTTACGAACGTCTGAACAAAAACCACAGGAAAGGATGAATGTGTTGTCAAATGTTTTACGAACATCTGAGCAGAAGCCACAGGAGATGAAGAATGTGTTGTCAAATGTTTTATGAACCAGTGATTATGGTGTTGAACCAATGTTGTTATCATATGGTTTTTCTTTATTGATACAAGATGAAGATTTCTTTCCACAGAAGGAGAACTGAAATTTTAAACAAGAAACTAGTGGTACCAACTAAGGTTGAACTACAGGTTGTTGTTAAGCATCTCGACATGATATGGTCCAAGTTTCCTTATTCATCTGATTATATGTGAAGACATGAAAGGAATTGGAATAAATCTTCCTTTTGATGTGTTTCAAGAGTCAAATCAGAACAGACTCTACTCCCCTAATTAATCCCCGCTGAGTTAGACATATCTACATCTACACTCTTCAAAGAAGATAAGTTCTCTTTTTAAAGACGATAGATTCTCTTTTCAAAGATGAAAGCTTTATTGGATTTCTACACAAGTCCAAGCAAAGAAAGTTGGTTTTATCAAAGATAAAATGGGGCATCAGGGTCATAATTTTGACTACGACAAGAGTTCCACAAGTGAAACACTTCTTCTGAGACTTAAATGAAGCAAAGAAGATGCAAAGATACAAGTTGATCAGATGATTCTGTAGAAATGCAAGCTTGATAGTATAAGTTTCTACACTGATATCCAAAGGTAACACTGGCAATAAATGATGAAGTGAATGAAGACCAAGTTCACCACTTTGAAGACAAATGAAGATTGCATCAACATTCATGCATTCATAAAAATATCATTTACACAATAGACAGTGCATTACATTGATACATCTGAGTGCATTCAAACATGAAGTTTTACAGATCTTCGGAAGAACAAGAAGACTCAGGGTAAAAAAATACCTTACACGAAGAAGGTATTCAAAAACCACAAATACAGGAATCATGCAAACATCTGAAGAAGAGATGGACACAATCCACAAAAATGAGCATTATCTTGAGATTAGGGCATGTTACCCAATCAACATGTTATTTTGAAAAAAATGAGAAAACGATTTCCATAGTTTCTCATTCAATCTTTTCTAAAAATGAAATTGTTGAAAAGTAAGAAAACGATTTCCTACTTAGTAAACTATTTCCCACATCTGTAAGTCCTGCAGTGCATGATGTTTCTAAAAAGCCTTCAGGAGCTTTTTGATGTTGTTACTTTGAAAAATAATGAGAAAATGATTTCCATAGTTTCTCATTCAATCTTTTCTAAAAATGAAATTGTTGAAAAGTAAGAAAACGATTTCCTACTTAGTAAACTATTTCCCACATCTGTAAGTCCTGCAGTGCATGATGTTTCCAAAAAGCCTTCGGGAGCTTTTTGATGTTGTTACTTTGAAAAATAATGAGAAAACGATTTCCATAGTTTCTCATTCAATCTTTTCTAAAAATGAAATTGTTGAAAAGTAAGAAAACGATTTTCTTAGTTTTTTACTTAGTAAACTATTTCCCACATCTATAAGTCCTGCAGTGCATGATGTTTCTAAAAAGCCTTCGAGAGTTTTTTGATATTGTTATTTTGAAAAAAATAATGAGAAAACGATTTCCATAGTTTCTCATTTTATCTTTTCTAAAATGAAATTGTTGAAAAGTAAGAAAACGGTTTCCTTAGTTTTTTTTTACTTATTAAACTATTTCCTACATCTATAAGTCCTGCAGTGCATGATGTTTCCAAAAAGCCTTCGGGAGCTTTTTGATGTTTTTAAAGCCTTAGGGTCATCTGTAAGTCCTGCAGTGCATGATGTTTCCAAAAAGCCTTCGGGAGCTTTTTGATGTTTTCAAAGCCTTAGGGTCATCTGTAAGTCTTGCAGTGCATGATGTTTCCAAAAAGCCTTCGGGAGCTTTTTGATGTTTTCAAAGCCTTAGGGTCATCTGTAAGTCCTGCAGTGCATGATGTTTCCAAAAAGCCTTCGGGAGCTTTTTGATGTTTTCAAAGCCTTAGGGTCATCTGTAAGTCCTGCAGTGCATGATGTTTCCAAAAAGCCTTCGGGAGCTTTTTGATGTTTTCAAAGCCTTAGGGTCATCTGTAAGTCCTGCAGTACATGATGTTTTCAAGCATTTTCATCATACTCAATAGAAGCCAAATGAAAAAAATTATTGTCTTTTTCGTCTTTGCTCTATTCTTGTTAACACAAGAATAAGCAAAGAGGAGCAGCTGAAGATACTCATTTTTTTCATTTAAATATTATTTATTTATTATTATTATTATTATTATAATTATTATTATTATTATTTATTATTATTATTATTATTATTATTACAAGCCCAAATCCCAGGCCCAACCAGAATCGGCCCAGACCCAAAAAGAAACCCTAAACATTTGGGGTTTTAGCTAGGGTTTCTAAACCCTAGCTCTAGTCGCCGCCTCAATCTCAACCGTTGGATCTGAGAGATCCAACGACCCACATTCATCCCGAACAAACCCTAGGGTAATGATACCCTAGGGACCACGCGGCCGCCGTTCACCAGCCTCTGCTACCACGCTGCCACGACGCCAACCGAATGATCCAGAAGGCCAAGCCATAGCCGCACACGTTGCCTTCAACGGTGAGTCACCACTGGAAGTTCGGTGACTCACCGAACTCTACTCTTTTACCCGGTCCGAGACAAGCGCCGGTGATGGCTATAAAGCCACCACTGAACCTGCGAAGAAAAGAAGACAACAGCCAGAAAGCAACCAAAACCGAGAGCAAAGATATAAAAAGAAAAAATAGAGACCAACTCACAACAACCAGCAATCAAACCGAGAAGAGAGAAGGAAGAGTTTACCTTACCGGAGAACCCCAAACGGCACTAAAGAACCAAAAATACCGAAGGTATTTTCCTTAGATCTAGAAAAATCCCTAACTTTTTAGGATAAAAGAAGGGTGAAATCGGGTTTAGGGTACTTAGATCTAGGGTTTGGGAATTTTTGGTGTTTTTCGACCACCGGAAACGGTGGCCGGCGGTGGGAATTACGGCGGCAGACGGCTGCCGCCTGGTAACCGGCTTCCCTCCGATGAGGGAAGCTAGAGAGAACTCTGGCTCTCTCTCTGTTTGAGAGAGAAGAGAAACTGAGAAATGAGAGAGCTGGCCCTTCGGCCCAGCCGTTTCGGGCTTTAAATAGCCCTTCCCGAACGACGCCGTTTTGGGGAGGGCTATTTGTATAATTTTTAAATGTTAAACCCTGTCCGTAGTCCCTCTGTTTTATATGTTTTACATTTTAGTCACTGAATCAAATTTATAATCCTTTTAATTTGGTCTCTAAATTTTATTTATTTATATTTTAGCCCTTAACCGTAATTATAAATATTTTAGATAAAATACGTATTTAGTCCTTTAGTTTTAATAATTAATATTTTAATCCTGAAGTATATATTTTTAATTTATTTTAATCTGATATTCGAATTTTATATAATTTTATTTTAGTCACCAAATTAATAAATAAGGAAAATAGCATGTTCAATCCCTGTAATTTTAAATAATTAATTACGAATTAGGTATTTAATTTTATTAGATTATAATTTAGTCACTAATTTTAAATATTTTCATTTATTATAAAGTTTTACTGCTTTTAAATATATAGTTCTAATTTTATTTTTATTATTGATTATTTATGTTTTAATTTTACTTGTTTATATTTAAATATTATTTTTATTATTATATAGTCATATAAATATATATAATAAATAATAATTTATATTAAATCTTAATTTGATTTTACATAAATTATGTTTTTATCATATTTTAATATATATTTATTTTTCAATATCAAAGAAAAGGACAGTCTTAATACAACTGGATGTCCTATTCTGGTATTTTAAAATTAAATATTATGAAAAAAATTATAATTTAATTTTTTAAATTATTATAATATTTATTAATATCAAAGAAAAGAACTGTCTTAAGGCACCTAGAAGTCCTTTTCTAATATTTCTAAATAAGTAAATATCTTATTTATGTTTAATATATTTTCTTAAAAATATTTGAATTAAATAGGATTATAAATTAAATATAATTTGAATTTTTAAATTTCTAATAATACAGACAATTTATAATTAAAAAGTACCAATTTTGGGCGTTGTAGGGGTGCTAATCATTTCCTAAACTTAACCGACCACGAATCCCTTTTTATCATTAAAAATAATGAATTTTTGGTTAAAACGCAGATCAGTTTATCTTTTAACTGATGTTTTCTTAAATACTCTTTTAAAAGATATTTTTTTGGTATTCGACCTACCTGACCCAAAAGGCCGATGGCGACTCCCAAATTATTTTAAAAAAACCATTTATTCACATCACTTTTCCCGCCAAATAAATATTTTGTGCCCGGACGAAAACCGGTTACGACACATTTCATCATCCATTATAAAGGAGACCCAAATTCTCCCATTCAAAATCCTAATTCCCTAATCTGCAACTAAAACTCAACTTACACATCCACACGCTTAAAACACCAACCATATACAAATATTCATAGAATCTACACACTCCCAAACGAAGAGGGTAAAGTGCTCCACCCGAATTCAATTCGGATACTCGCCTTTCAGATCCGAGCTTCCCGGAGTTATGGACAAAGAAGATAACAAATTCAGATGCCCTGGAAGATAATTTCCAACCCTCACCGCCGACGCTTCTCCCATTGCTTGCTGTTGTTGAACGAACAACGCAGTAGCAGTAGGTAGCTGAACAGATTCTGCAGCGGCTGCATTAGCAGTATGAACAGCAATCTCTGGCGGAAGCGTGAAGCTCCATACTTGTTGACCATAGTCGGGCCTTGCTGGAAGAGCCCAGAAACCACCCGCATGTCCCATATCTGGGCACATCGTGATCACCCCAGAATCGTCCTTCCCGGCGTTACCATTGTCGAAACTGACCCGTTTCCCAAGTATTAAACTGACGGGACCTAGTAAAGATTTATGGTCCAAAGACGTTGTCGACGGCATAGAATTGGAATCACTTCGACCGCGGACGGGAGCCGACACGGTGGAGAAACTGGCGGGAATCGTCCCGGTACCGGTGGCTGTTATAATGGAGGGTTCGGCTTGGCGTAACAGCCACTCGATGGTCTGACCGTCGTATTTGTGACCCAACTCACGAGTCAACTGGAAAACACGAGCCGCACAAATGATCGGCATCCTGATCCTTCGCCCACGGCCGTCCACTTTGGTGTGATGATCTTTGGTCGGAGGCTTTTTTACGGCGAGGGAACCGTTGACCGGCACTTGTCGTACCTTGGGGTCCGTAATGGCTCCGTTTGCAGCAACGTCATCTGAATTTGACATGGGCGGGACGATGAACTGCAGCAGAACTCAATTCACTTGCTTTCTTAGTGGGGTTTGTTTTTGTTATACTAGAGATATTTTGTGGCTGTCTCGGATTTATTCCAGATGATAATCTCGACGTCAATAGTGTATTTTTTGGTTAATTAATTATCAATAAATGCAAAATCTTCTTATGGCATTATTTATGATATCATATTATCATAAAGTTTTAAAATTAAATTTAGTGTAAAGTATACAAATGGTTATTGAACTTTTTAAATATTTGCATTTAGGTTTTTTAACTTTTAAATTTTGTAATACAATCACCAAATATTTAGTTCGTTTGCAATATGGTCCCCAACGTAACGATCGTTTCACTGCCGTTAGGGTAAATTATATAATTGGTCATTAAATTTTTTAGACGCTTGCATTTAAGTCCCCCAACTTTTAAAACTTGCAACACAACCATCAATTATATTCTAAACTCTAAATTCCAAAATACTTCAATTACATTCTAAACCTCAAATTCTAAAATACTTCAATTACATACCCAACCCCAAATTCACAATCCATTATCAAAATATGCCATAACAAATTGAACTTAAAACAACAACCCTAAAACCTCAAAACATAATCGTTTCTAAAAATTTTAACCAATTATAAGTGAATAATAAGTGATTATGTTGGGTTTAGGGTTATATTGGACCTAAATACTCAATTCAGTTTATAAAATAGTTGACTCAAAATTTTTCGATTTGAGTTTATAAAATCTAAATCAAGTTGAGTTGAATTGAATTTTCAAGTTTTTGTTTAAATTTAATTATAAATATTTATCATATTGTAATATTATTTGATTCCAATTCAGTTTAGTTTATAAAATAGTTTACTCGAAATTTTTTCGATTTGAGTTTATAAAATTTAAATCAAGTCAAATTGAATTGAATTCTCGAGTTTCTGTTTAAATTTAATTATAAATATTTATAATACTATAATATTATTTGATTCTAATTTAAATAGTTTTTTAACCATATACAATACATATATTTCTTCAGATTTTTTCTATATGTGGTATACATATATCATACAGAGTCAATGGACTTGACTCAAACTTAAAAATTAATCTACTAATTACTAAAAATTTTGAGATATTCAAGTTGTATTTTACAACTCGATTTTAACTTGAAAATTTTTCAAGTTGAGTTTATGAAATTACAACTCAAAGTCAATTTGTATCAATTTTTTTGAATCAATTTAAGTCGAAAAATATTTTTTTTTCGAATCAAATTGAGTATTGTTCACTTATAGTTGGTTAAATCTAACTTTTAAATCCTAAACCCAACATAATCACGTATTGTTATGGACCTAAAATGAACTAAATGTTGTTGATTATGTTGGGTTAATTGGTGGGAAAATTTAGCATTTAAAGTTATGTTTTGAGGGTTTAGAATTACTGTTTCAAGTTCAGATTGTTATGGCATATTCTGAGAATGGATTATAAATTTGAGGTTGGGCATGTAATTGAAACATTTTAGAATTTGAGGTTTATAATATAATTAAATCATTTTGGAATTTGGGGTTTAAAATATAATTGATGACTATGTTGTAAGTTTAAAAAGTTGAGGGACCTAAATACAAGCCATTAAAAAGTTCAGTGACCATTTATATAATTTACCCTAACAACAATGAAACGACCGTTACATCGGGATCATATTGCAAACAAACTAAATGTTTGGTGACTATATTGCAAGTTTTAAAAGTTGATGGACCTAAATGCAAGCATCTGAAAAGTTCAATGACCATTTGTATATTTTACCCTTAAATTTATTATAAATAATGAATTATAGTTTTATCCAGTAAAAGTACATACATATAAGTTGATGGGAGTGGGGAACACAACTGAAGCCATAAAAGTATCAACATGTGAAGCAAGATCCACTTGGTTTTGGGGCAATTACTGAAAGGGACCGTGAGCAATGGCAGGACATCAATAAATTCCATCTTTTCCCTTTTCATCTTCATGAAAATGTGATACAATGAGATGCTACCACAATTATTGTTATTATATTAACATACCAAATGAAAGGTTTTATACTTGGTACCTAAATTACTCGATCCTTCTAAACCTTTTTCCGAACCCACAATTCCGGAATTACTACCACAATGACGATATCAACTGACCCAAAACTCAACCGGCACCAAATAAACGATTAGCACCTACAAGAATAACAATTGTTTACTTTGCCCTTTAGACCACGTTATATAATTTCGTATCGTATTCACCGACCACCACAATTCAATAAAAAATACTTTGAAAAAAGTATATGTGAGCTGCCTGTACTCGGAAATCAACCAAAACCGAAACCGAATCAAACACCGCAAAAGCTATGATAAAGTACCATAGCCTTTCCTGGCACTAACTACTTATAAACTGAGAATAGGCAGGCTCAAGAGATGAAGTGATAGTAAACCTCATATTCCTCACGTAACAGAAACCATGGAAACAAACAAACTTTAGAACATTTACCTTTCTAGATTTACTTCACTGATGGTGGTTCAGTTATGTCCTGCGAACGATTCTTTGGATCAGCGGCTTTATTTTTCAAGTAGTAATAGTTTGCTGATATAAAGGGGAAGAAAATAAGTAGGGGTCAAATAATATATACAACAAAAGTGTGAAAGATTAAATGTAGCTTGTCATAGACAAACAAAGCTGTTAAATTTTCAGATGAACAGATAATACTCAATACCAAAACATTAATCTCAACTCTCCATGTTTACACACAACTCTCATACCCAAACTCTGAAAGTGGATGCTTATATCCCCATGTCACATGAAACAAATGTGGCCATTTTGTTCCATTTTAAGCTGCAGGCAGAATAATAAACCAGAATCATGAGAATTATACATCTATGATTCGGGTATATTCAAATTGACCGTGTAAATGCAGGTAGAATAATAAACCAGAATCATGAGAATAAATTAAAATATTACTGCACCGTGCATACATAAGTACCACCGTAAGAAGTTAGCCCCGATTTGTGTATCAAAATACAGTTTTATTGGTATATGGAATGTTAGCAGCAATCATTCTTTATAGAAAAAACTTGCTAAATAAACTTTTAACCTATTTCGGAAGGCAAGATATGAAGATATGCACCTTTTACAAGTCGGTATAAATTGAACTTCCACCAAAACCTAACATTTTAACTAAATATTAGTTATCGTTTTGGAAGGTAAGAAGGGATTAACAATAGCATTAGAAATCATTCAGTTTGAAAACAGACATTGGCCAGAATGAATGCAAGGAAAGGCTCATGGAGCGGTAAAAGTGAAGAATCAAAAGTTACTACGCTACAAAAAATCTATTCAGTATCCAGATGTTCACAACATTTTAACTAGATGTCTCAAAAATAAAAAAGCAGTCCAACGAAAATACAAATGGTTTGAAGCCCCACCAACTAATACCATAAGTGTCTTCAGACGGCTTAACAGTGGAATAACATGTAACACATGTTTTCAGAAGGCTTAACAGTGGAATAACATGTAACACATGTTTTCAGAAGGCTTAACAATGGAATAACATGTAACACAACTTTCAGAACTTGGCAGGAGTTTCTTCCACATAATAAGATGTTAGTGTCACAAGTTCATAGTTTATTCCTCACCCTGATACCCTCACCGCTACCATTTTTATCTCACAGCTTATTTACATGTTTTCCTTAACCTTATTACCTAAATCAAAAGATAAAATAACTTCTACTCTTATGTTGGAAGAACACATCATTCAGATTCCAAAATTCAAGAAGAAAATCCAATGGTCCAATGAACTTTCTAGTTTCTACTTAAAAAGTGTTTCTAAAAGCAAATATTGCTTCAACTACCCCATCTTTCTATGCCTCTGTGATTTGTATCTTTATTAAATTAAAGAAAATTATACATATATGTGAAAGCTCCAACTTTGGCATTCAAGCTTTTACTATAAAAGTTCCTACCATCTCAACCCAGCAATCTCAGACAACAAGCCTTTCACAGCTAATATCTGTTGGATTTTATAGAGCATATACCGACTATAAGCATAGAACATAACGAATCCGTTGTTGACAAAAACTACTCAGAAAACATAGGCTGTAAAACAAAAGACCTTCAAATATTTCTTCTTTCTTTGCTAAACATGCCCCAATACTTTTATTGTACAAATAAGTCCATATCCTCTGATGTGTACTTAAATAAGCTCCTCTTTCAAATGAAATGTTGTTATATCAAGAGTTTGTTGAGGAATAAATTAAAGGTTACGAGATTCATTTGGGAAAAAATTTAAAGATTAGGGGCTTATCTGGATAAAAATTGCATGCTTATTAGGGTGTAATGAAAGTATAAGAACTTATAAAATAAAGTGGCAAAGTTGAAGGACCCTTCTAATATTTTAGCTGAAAACGTAATGTAGGTCACTACATAGGTATGAAGTATTAAGGAACTAACCACATATAATATCCTCCAAAGTCAATGGGACAATTGTCCATTCAAAACAACATAGGTATGAAGTATTAAGGAACTTTACCTTGCATTATAGATTAGGATGTCACAGGCTAAGAATAGGTGCTAATGTTAATATTTTTTTCGGTTATTTAAAAATGTTATTTTCTATATAAAAATATTAATATTTTATAATTTTTATAATTTTAATTTTTATACAAAAAAATTAATAATAAATTAAATATAGTGAAATTGTATTTTTTTTATAATTTTATTTTTTATACAAAAAATTGTAATTTTTATACAAAGAATGTTATTATAAGAAATATTTATTTTAAGTAGTGAAATTAATATTTTTGGTAATATTTCTGGTAAAAATATTTCTGCTTATAATTTTTTTCTTTCAACTTGGTATTTGTATGTATAATTTCCGTTAATTAATAATAAATTAAATATAGTGGGATGAAACATTAGATATATTAAGAGAAACTAGAAATTCAAATTTTGTAATTTTGTAATTTTGAATGAAACTTAATCGAGTTGGAAGGATTCTTCTATAATGAACCGTTAATTAATAAATAATAAATTATGATATTATATTTAAATAATAGAACCGTTAAATTTGATCATTGAAATATCTATTTAAAT